AGGTAAATGAGTTCCTAGACTCCTACACTGTGGCTGACTGACAGGTCACAGAATAGTTTATATGGATAGAACAGTAACCCAAACATGTAAATAGATGTCCCTTAAGACACAAAACAGAATTTTAAAAGTCGTAGTAAAAGTAATATTCATTATTTTGCATTAGATTCATCTGAATATTTATTTAGTTGGTTTTTCCTGGTTTTCATAATATCTGGACATGTCAGTGTGTCTTCTGAACACTACCTGATATTTTGAAGCGCATTGGCATCTCGAATGACTGACGAACCAATGGGCAGTGTTCCTAGGGAGACACGGGATGCTCTTCTCCCTGGTATGGTGGGAGCCCTGACAGGGGTGCCATCCAGCATGTGAAGTGAAAGCCTAGAGGCCTGCCAGCATCACTGCGGCTCTTCCTGGGCCTGCCGCAGCAGACAAAGTAACGTGGAGCTGGTGGCAAGGCCCCTAGGTGATTTACGGGGAATTAAAAAAAAAAAAATACGTGAGAGGGGCTGAAGTATCTTAGAAACACTGTGGCATATCTGAGAAGGACGATGGGTTAGTTGCCAAGAAAGAGGGAGGACAAACAACTATAGTTTCCTACTATGTTCTGGCACAGAGTGTAACTTGCCCAGGGTTACAGGCCAGTAGAGGACCAAGCTGGCCCTCCAGCCCAGGATTGGGTTCTTCAAAGTGCATGCATTTTCTGCTGCATTATGCTAACTCATGTAAATATCGCCTCTTTTGGAATATTAGGATATCATGGCACACTTACTCAACAGTAACCTCAAAAGCTGCTTTGCACACACAAGAGAATTTGCAGCATGACTGAAATGCAATTTCTTATCCATATTGTGAACAAGAATAAACCATCATAATCAGAGGCTGGAACTGTTAGCCTTGTAAAGTTCTAAGTATTAGCCTTTTCCCGTGTGTGGTAGTCAGACTGAATATCAGTGTCACAGCTTTACCAATATCGTCTGATTGGTTGCCATGCCATGTTTTTGCCTCAGGGTTCATGGCAGAGATGAAGATTTGGTGATTCTCAGCTTAGTGCACGTCCTGGAATAAGGCACAACTCATACTATAGTATACTGATGAAAAGCACACCAAGATCATCTGCAGCGATACGGGGAAAGGAGAGCATAGATAACTGCATTCCACATAGTATTCCTGGGAGGATTTGTGCAGAAAAATTAAACAGTTAATTTAAAATGACTGAAAATTCCATTGCTTAGCATTACTTACCTCAGAGTATTTGTAGTTAAAAGTAGGAGAGTTTTCTAAAGGTCCCAGGTACTCTTCTATTTTAGCAAAAGGTGCTTTTTACACTTTTTGTACTGTAAAAGGATCCAGGTAGTTGAGAAAGTCCTTTTTTCCATGTCTTTGAAAAGTAATCTTTGAGTTAGAAGGTGCTATTGGCTCCAACGATCGATTAACTGGTATAATTCCAGTAAATCATCCGGTATGGATTATAATAAAATGCCAAGTGTATTACCAATAACCAGAAGAAATTTCTAAGACTTTTCAATGATTATTATCAATAATCTGAGACTACTTGCATTGCCTGAATCTACCTGACAGCGTACCTCCATGTGGCAATTTCAGCTAATAAATTATATTTCTACTTTCAGTTGCTATGAAGTCACCCAAACTCCGCATTTGTTGTTGTTGGTGGAGCTTTAATGTATATGCTCTTCTAGCGATCATGGGAATATGAAACAGAATGGTTATTCACTTGATTAATCTTTATTGCAGGTGAGAGGATAAAATGTACTTTATAAAATACTTGATTAAGTGTACCTATTTCTTGGCATACATCTTTAGATGTTTAATTATAATTTTTATGTGTTGGAGCCAACATTTTCCTGTAGAAATACAGCTCAAGATTTAATACCGGGCAACAGTGGAAAATGGGATTTAGTATGAAGATATTTGCTTTATGTGAACCTTTTTATGAACGTAGCTAATGCATAAGTGAAGTCAAGCTGTAAAAACAATTAGCTGGGAAAATACCAAGTAAATTTTTAATATTCCAGTGAATATCTGTTAGCTACACATTATTGTTGTCATTAAACTATATGCAAATGTACAACTAGATTCACTTAGATTTGGGTAAAAACGATAAAGTACTAGAAGTATGCAGTGCGTATAATTCCTGTTTGCATCTCCAAACAAAGCACATTAATCTTTCTGCAATACCGCTGATGTAACGTCTCCATGTTGCTTCTGGGAGTATTTGAAGTGGGCAAGCATCCCAAGTTGATAGTTAATTCTGATCAGCAAAGGCTAACTAGAGTAGATGTCTGGGTTGGACATTGTAACAAAGCAAACAATTTCTAAAGCTCTTGGAAGATTCCGGTGCAAACTCTGTCACGCATTTGCATCTCTTATTCTAGACATTACAAAATTAGTTTATCCGCAAAGGGTGTGAAACCCCTTCTAAAATTATGATTTGTTATGTTTGTATTTTTATAAAAATTCAAAATTCTCAAAACCATCTACTTTGGGGCTTAAGCTAATGAAGAAACAGAAACATTTAAAATATTTTCTAGAACCAGTCTCAAGAACCATTTTGTTGCTGGGAAGGATTTGAGAGATTTTCTTCACCAGTGGTCTTGAAAGAACATTCTCAGACAACTCTTAATCAAAGATGATCTGTTGATGGAATTGAATAATGAGAATCTTCTTACAACTCAAAGAAATAATAAGCCATATTTTCCATAATTTTCTTAAGCTAAGGATCTGCTGTTAGACTACTAGCATGCAGTATTTAGTGAGTACGTATTAAAATTTTAAATTGTATTCCTTTAAAACATTTTATAAAAGCTTTTGAAGTGTAAAGTGCACTCCAAGTGCACATACACATATATATTTGAAAATTGCTCCTAAGTAAATGCACAGATATGTTATGATATTTCATGAAAAATACTATAATTTCCCCCTTATTTGCCACTTGAATCAGATTGAGAAAGTTGATACAGACAAAATCTTTCATATTACTGATGAGTCTTAGAGAAAATAAGTCCTCTTACCCAAAGAGCTTATAGATTGAGTAGATGGAGCTTAAATCCAATTGATCTTAATGTAATGTAAAAGATCTTTTCCTCTGTTCACTCTGAGTGTTTGTTTATCAAGCTTGTAAAAGTACTTGATAAACATTTTTAATTGTATTTCTTAAAATGTTAAGTAATCTTTATTACATTCAAGATAAAAAGCTTTTAGCAGATTAAACAATAACCTGTGGGAATACACAGACTCTTAACTAAGGCAGCGTGTCTCCAGGTGTGTTTTGTAGAATACACATGCTAGTTCGCTAAAAAGGGGGTTTCATTACCAAAAATATTTAGGAAACACTGTATAGTGTTTTTCCCTCTTGAAGACAGGACAGTTCAGACAACATAAAGCCTATGAGAAGGCAGGTTCATTAACCTTATAGCTATGTTAATAGATACCTTGCAAATTAATTATATATCCACTGTGAGAAGTTAGAAAAGGAATGACTAAAGTCTGAGGAAGGAAAATGAATGTAGAAATCGATTAATTAGAAAACAGAAGAATAATAGAAAAAAATGCAGAATCCAATATCTTGTTCTTAGAACCAATAAAATATTTAAATATGTAGCCTAATCAAGGCAAGCAATTGTGAGTTTAAAGCACAGATGTGCAGAACATGGTCTGAGATGGGGGAACACTGCAGATGCACAAGAAATGAAGATTCTCATAAAGGACTACTTTGTTTAACTCATGGAAAACGATTTCAGAACCTTGGATGGATGGGATGCTTTTGTAGGAAAATATAAATGATCAAAACTGACCTCAAAAGGAGAAAATAAAGAACCAGTTGCTCTAGATGTAAAAGGATAAGTATTGGAATAGCTTACTGCCACCCCTCGCCCAGCACCCTTAAGGAAAAGCACCTGACCTCAGTGGTTTCACAGAGGAATCTTACTGAACCTTTGGAAAACTGGAAACAGATTATTCTGGGCAACCAAAAATAACCTTGGTGTCTAGCTCAGCAATGCGAGTTTGAGATAACAACAAAGGATAGAGCTTCAGATCAATATTATTTGTAGAATATCAATGGAAAAATCTTAATTGAAATATTGGCAGACAGAATTTGGCGGTACATTGAAAGAAGAACCCACCGTAACCAAGTGGGATTTATTCTAGGAATGTAAAATTGTTTCACGACTAGAAAATATGTTAATAAAATTCACCTTATTAAGAGATGAAAAGTAAAAATTGTCAACTACACAGATGCTGAAAAGACATAAAAAATCCATTCTCAACTTAGAAAATCCAATACATTATGAATAACTGAATATTACTTTAACACTGTGTACTCTGTAGACGCACCCACACATATTCTCTCCCTGTCTCTCACACACACTCATACACAACCATCCCATTTTTTTTTTTTGACCGCGCCACGAGGCATGCGGGATCTTAGTTCCCCGACCAGGGATCGGGCCCACGTCCTCTGCAGTGGAAGCATGGAGTCTTACCCACTGGACTGCCAGGGAAGTCCCATCCCATCCCATCTTAACCCACCTCAACAGCCAGCGTTATGCTTAATGAGGACACACTAGCCACATTCCCATTAAAGTAAAAAACAGGACCATCCGTTATCAACTGCTGTTTGGTATTCAGTTGGAGGTATGAACCCACGCAGTTAGGGAAAATAAAAGGAATGAAATGTGGAAAGAAATAGGAAGTATCATTTTTTTGCGCATCAGTTGTGATTAGCTGGAAAATTGCAAGAGAACTAAAAACTTGTTAGAGGCAGGTGGGAGAATTCAATAAGGGAGATGGGACCAAGTTAACATTCAGGAATGAAAAGTCTTCGTATTCACAAGCAAGGGAAGGGGAGGAGACCCCTGTAAGGAGGTGCTCTCTGTCTTCAGCGCCCATAAAAATCACCAAGGCTGTTTGGTAATCATGTTGATTCCTGGACTCGCCCAAAGAGTCTGATTGTCAGCCTTGACTCTGCGTTTTCACAGGTGTTCCTAGACCCCTCCAGGAGGACTCTGATAGTTTTTGTGTGGGACCCACACTCTGAGAAATGCTGCCCTGAGGACCCCACCCCCATTCCTGTACCGTCACTCCTCACTTGGCTGCCTGTGGTGCCAGCCATTTACCTGTCTCAGACGGTGTGCTGCAGTACCTGGAGGGACACAGCGACAGCACACCCTGGCAAGAGAGCCCCCAGCTTCCTCTGCCGGGAACCCTTCTTTACTGTCACAAGTTCTAGCACTGGGCGTCGGCCACCACGTGAGAGGCACGCCTGGCTGCTCCTGCTACACGCCCACCGTCCAGTGGGGTGGCAGGAAATAGGGGGTGTCCTCTGTTACCTGTGCTTAGGGAAAACACTGAGCAGAGGTTCAGGGCGGTTGCAGCCTTTACTAACTTGCCAAGTTCTGCAGGGCTGCATTTCCCTGGAGTTTATCACTCTTTTCTCACCAGTCCTATATAGTCAGTCACTTAATTCCTGTGCTTTCCAGTGCTTCCCTGCTTGAGTGATCACTCATCCTTAGCAGAACTGTAACTGGTTAAGTCCAGCTCCTCTGACTCTGTACTTGTACCCAGGAAGCTACAGAAAAACGTAACTGTGCTGACTGATCCCATCTTGAAATAATGAACACAACCCTTAGGTGGCTTTCAGCACTGCCGGCAGTCCCCTGTATTCTTCTTGGCAATTCAGTTTCCTGTGTTCACAGATGACTTGTCTAGACTATGCAGTGGCCTGCCAGCCCCCCCTCTTCTTGCCTTTCTTTGGGCAAACAGCAGTGAGAGATTTTTAAGTAATAAGTCCGACTGTGTCACTTCCCTGCTTAAAGCCCTCCGATGGCTTCCGTCACATGTGGGATTAAGTTGTGACTAGTTTCCTGCCACTCACCCCTTGACTCACTTCTTCCAGGTATAAGAACACTTGGTGTTTCTCAAAAAATGCCCCATATATTACCACCCCAGGGCCTTTGCACTTGCTATCTCATTTGCTAGGAACGCTTCTTCCTCCAGGCATCCCCATACCTAGAATTCTTACTCCAACCACTTGTTTATTCAAATGTCACATCCTAAAAGAGGTTCTCTGTTCTGCTTTACTTTTCTTCCTAGCCCATCTTACTAGTTGATACTAATTGATTGTTTGGTTGATTGATTGTCTCCTGAGGCCTGTCTACCATCCCTAGGGATTAAAGCAGTCCCTGGCATGAATTAGGTCCTTAATAAATATTTTTTGAATAAATAATTTAATCCACATACGCCCACCAACCCCCACCCCTGGCAATCAAACAAGGGCAGGAAGAAGATGAGGTTATTAATTTCTGAGCGTTCAGAAGGGAGGGATGACTTTTATTCCCTCTCCCTTGCACTCCCCCAATTTGGCAGGCTAATTTCTGAGAGTCTGCCAAGAATATAAATAGGAACAGGTGACGTCACCTAGGAAGACTCTCTTGTCTATGAGAAACAGAAGTTTGAACCTTAGGGAGTATGAGCATTTTTTTTTTAAATTGGTTTTTATTGAGGTAAAACTCACAGTCACATAAAATTCACCATTTTAACTACTTTAAAGTGTACACTGAATTCAGTACACTGAATTACTACACTGAATTCAGTACACTGAATTACTACACATTCACAGTGTTGTACAACCATCACCACTATCTAATTCCAGAACATTTCATCATGCCCATAAGAATCCCCCTACCCCTGAACAGTTACTCCCCACTTTCCCTCTTCCCAGCCCCTGGCAACCACTAATCTACTTTCTGTCTGGTGGAGTTGCTTATTCCGGACATTTCATCTGAATGCAATCATACAATATGTAGACTTCGTGTCTAGCTTTCACTTAGTGTAATGTTTTCAGAGTTCGCGCACATTGTATCATGTATCAGTGCTTCATTCCTTTGTATGGCTCTTCAGTACTCCATTGTTTGGATATACTACATTTTGTTTCTTGATTCATCAGTTGGGTGGCCCTTTGGGTTATTTCTCCTTTATGGCTGTTATGAATAATGCTGCTATGAACATTTGTGTGCCCATTTTTGTTAACACACCTTCAAAACTTTCTCTTCAGTTTTGCTGGGTCAGATGGGAATTCTGTGTTTAACTTTTAAGAAACAGCAGTGGCTGCACAACTGTAAGCATCCTAGTGGGTGTGCAGTGGTGTGTCATTGTGGTTTTGACTTGCAGTTCCCTCATGGGAACGTTGCCGTTTAAGCACGGGTTCCCGAAAGGTGGGTTACTAGAGGAGGCAGAGCGTGAGAGAGAGCAGTGGTGCTGCCAACAGCTCGGTCTCCTGGGCTTACAGTGCCCCAGCTTTTGCTTTGGAACTGATGTGACCACTGATCTAAGTTTGGCTTAAATTGCCTTGATGTTCCAAGTCTATCATGACCTCTCCAAAGTTTATAGTTAGTAGCTCTGCAGTTTAAAGTGCTCATTTATCCAGTTCATTGAGACGCAGCATAGTGTAGAGGTTAAGCCCATAGCCTCTGGAGTGAGACTGTTCGGTTCAGATGCTGGCTCAGGTGGGGTGGCCTTGGACAAATCAGTGAACATCTCTGTTCCTCATTTCCATGCGTGTGAAGTGAAGTTGAGGTTGTTACTGTGACTGAAAGAGATGAGTATGCACAGAGCTTCAGATAGTGGCTGGCACATGATGAGTTCTCTGTGTTGGCTGTAATCATGATGATGGTGATGGTGGTGATGATGATTTAGCTAGATATCCATTTAGGGAAGGGGCAAGAATAGTTTTATGCTGGATCCAAGTTTGGGATTGAGGGTGGTAATTGTGTGTTTATAAAGTGGTGCTCGTTGATAGCATGCTCTGATTTCTGTAGTCCTGTTGTGATACTGGCGTCAGTGACACAGTACAAGTCATTGACTCTTGTGGCTCGTAGTCTGTATTCCACAAGTCATTCCACTGATTCATCAAATTGACATTTTGAGCACAGGTTTACTTTTGTTTGGACAGGGACTAGACTTACTTCCATAAAATGTTTTCTTTGGTTTATATAACAGTATAACCATATTATTGTTAAGATGTTGAAATTATGAAAGAATATATCGTTTATAATCCCATCACTTCAGAACACCCTATCCCAGCTTTTAGTGCATATCTTTCTTCCTTACATCTCTTTTAAAGCTTATTTTCAGCCGTCCTGTGAAACTTTTCTGATAGATCCTAACTTTTGACATTTCTCAAGACTAAACATTCAGATCCCATAAAAGATATAGCTGCAAAATTTATAGATGTGAATAGAGAAAGAACTCTCTCCTATCTAGACGTTTTATATACATACAAGCTTGAAAATGTGCCAAGGACTATTTTATAGCTTTATGATAAAACCTATTATTTTTCAATAGCAAGAAAAAGAATGCTTAGCTGTGCCAAAATGTGTACAAAGAGTCAAAATAATCAGCAGGGCATTTGGTTTCTAAGTTTTGGCCTTTATAGTTCCTTAAACATAAATTCTGCAAATATTTTACAGATAAGTAAGCTGGGATAGAAAGATTAAGTGACATTTCTGTTTTCAGTCAATGTTAGAAGGAAACACAGAAATCCACAGCCTCTCCTTATTAGACCAGAAGATAACACGTTCATATATTTAAGACATAAACCTGTAGAGGAGACATGAACGCGTAAGCTGGGCTGAGATGTATGATGATGCTATCAAATGAAATGAGGCAATTACTTTTCAGTTCTTAAAAGTTCTAATGTTATTTGGAATATGTCTTTCTCACCTTGTAAAAATGATACTTAGGAAGGTGGAGATGATGGAGAAGGCAGTCACAGAATGGTAGGGAGGATTTTAGTTGTTTAGAAAGATAAACACAAAATGAGTCCACAAAGAGGGCATTAATGAGGTAGATTTGGGGAGAATGGCAAGGATCTATGGTATAGAAAGCTGTTGTAACTGTCAGTCCAATATAAGAATAAGAATACCCATATTCTTGTAGGAATACTATGTAAGAATGTAAAATCTTCCCTTTGCTCAAAACCCAAAACAAAACTGTATAAGGAATGTCAAGTATTAATTCAAAGGAGCCAAATATCATTCTTTCTTTATTCTTGTAGTGACTTGTGAAGTCTTGAAGACAGGCCAGATCTAAAGACTTTTTTGAGATCTAAAGAAAGGGAAACCTTTATTTTCTCTTATTTGAAATTTGGTTTGTTTTTTATAAAAGTTCCGGTGGACAGAGGGCAAAGAGGAATGGGGGAAAAAAAAAGCGGTCTTAACAAACAGCCTTTATAAAACTTACACTGTCGGGCAGTGTTGGCACATTAGCCCATTTTTCTGACCTTTCGCTCCTGCCTGTTTTTGTCCCTGCTTGGCGAGACGTATCCTAAAAACTTAGAGTTTCACTGTGGAGATCTGTTTGTTCGGCACCTACTCGGCAAGGCACCTCTGAAGTCTGTTCGTGCACCTTATTAGGTTAGAAAGAACCCTTGCATTAGCTTCTCTGGCCCGCCAAGGACATAGCTAGTTTAATAAACGTATATGAGGAAAAATAGAAGAAGATAAAGCAGATTTTCAGGAACTACTTAAGAGTTTCCTAAGCTCTGAAGTTAGGCAGACTTGAGTTTGACGCCCAGCAACTTTGTTGGGGAGATTTGCTACCTCTCAAGGTGACCATGGGGGCATGTGTCTCACCAGGCTGCCCTGAGGATTAAATGAGAAAGAGATGTAAGAAACCTAACCGTGGTGCTATGAGGAATGTGTGCAGTCCTTTGCTTGCATGGGGTGTGAAACAGTCATCAAGTCGCATCAGCCACATTGTAGGCTGTGCTGAGCTGAGGAGCAGGTGTCTCAGCCTTTAGTGTGCAGACCCACCAATAAAACCTGTTCAACTGAAGACTCTTGTTCTGTCCTCAGAGGCTGATTCAGCAGGTCAGGGTTAGAACACAGGAATCTGCATTTGTAACAGGCCCTAGAGATGATTCCTACGAAAGCGGGATCACACTTCATAAGACATACTTCGGAGGCTGAGGGTAGAAGCCGTTTGACCTTGAAACTTTAATAGCCTGGGTGGGTGAGTTTTCATGGCTCATCTCTTAACAGTAAAAGATAGGGATCTAAGCACTGATCATAAAATTCTAATTGAGGAAAATCATTCAAGAATAGCAGTGTAAGATTAGGTAAGTATGTATGTGCTAATTTGTAGAAATAAGTGCATCACTTTTTAGAAGCACTTTACCAGAAATAAATAAATAAAAATAGAAATAAATAAAGATAGAAAAAGGAACTCCATTAAATAGAGCCTATCAACCTTTAAAGTTAGTAAACTTTGAGCTTCTTTACCAAGGGAAATGAAT